AGTCAGCCTTTGCCGGCTGCCCACCCACCCCTGGCCACAGTTAGAGTGAACAAGCGACCCAACTTTGCCCAATAATAGTCAGTCCTAGGATTTTGCTGGACCTTTTGGGAACATAAGCCTTTTTTTTCCCTACTGGAATTGCTAAGCTGGTAGGATACAAGCATGGAGGAGCCAGAGACCATTACATGAACAGAACCTGCCTGAGAATGAAGCCAGCAAAGAGGAAAGCAAGAGAGAGAAATTCTTGACATGACGTACCTCCCCAGATCCAGCTGTACCTGGATCCTGTTAACCCCCATGCTTTACAGTTATAAATAAATTCCCATTGTTCTTAAACCAGTTGCTGTCACTTGTGCCTCAAAGAGCCCCGACGAATATATCCAACCTATTATGCCGTGACAGAAAGAAAATTTTGAAAATCATTTTCCAGAACTCTGCTCCAGGGCAAGCTTTCCTCACTTCCTCCACATTTAGAAATAAGCCAGTAGACACTCTGCATCAGGCCAGGTTAATAATTCCGAGGAACAGAAGTCTACGCTAGCTGAGGTAAACAGCAAATTGATTTATGGAAAATTAATCAAGTGGGTCTCAGAATTGCTAGAGAGCTGAAGAACTGGGCCCACAGGGATGGGAACAAGGGCAGATGGTGCACCAGCACCACAAAGGGCCAGGACGGAGAGAAGGCCACTGCCACTGCCAATGCAGGACGCTGGTCCTGGACACAGACAGCCTTCTCTGGCACTGCTGCCCTCGCAATGGACTGCGCTATTGCCTCTGCAAGAATTCTGCCTGCTGACTGACATTGCTTTTTCATGAAAAGTTCATATTCAAAAATCCCAGGCAGGTGTCTGATTGTCTGAGCCTAGGTCGCATGCTGTACCCTCGCTGCAAAGGAGGCTAGGAAAGCGATCTGGCCATTTTTGACTTCTAGAGTGGAAGACAGACTGCATTTCCCCTGAGACTTTCGATAGCAAGAAATAAAAATGGAATGGAATGGAGTGAAGTGGAGCGTAATAGAGTAGAGTAGGAGTAAATAAAATAAAATGACACATATCCACTATGGTCTGCCTTCCCTTTCCTAGAAATGCTCCCACTCTGCATGAGTATCTGCTCTCCATCCTTGGCCCTTTGTAACTGCTACAGCTCACCTCCTCCCTGCTGTGGGTCACCCAGAACCCAGGACCTAACCAACCCCGCCCACCTCTGAGTCACTTCTCTGGGCCACTCAGTGATTTCCCTGGGACACCTCCCTGGGCCGCCAGCCTTGGGCAATGTGATTTCTAGAAGGCCCTCAGCCTGGCTCATGCTATCTGTGAGCAGACTCTAAATCCACCCACAGCACTGAGTGATAACTAATTATCAGGCCAGTCCAGCCTCACCACAAGGCTTTGCACACGTGTGCTTTGCATTGTGGGCAGAAGGAGAGTCGGGCAAGGAGCAGCAACCAAGGAAGTCACGGGTCCCATCAAGCCTGCCCTCCCTGTCATTTCCCTATTGTCTCCCTGGAAACTAATCCCGTCCCTCTTGACGACTGCACAGCGAGGCTTCTTGCTTCAGTGACGGTCAAGGTAGCTTATCCCCTCGTTAATTAACTGCTCAGAAAAATGCTGTACAACACTATGCTATTTGGCTTCCAGCTTGTTAACACGGGGGACTCCAGAGAAACTTTGACCTGGCCCATGGCTGTGAGTTGGATAGAGCAAGAGAAGAGCTGGATGGAAGAGGTGCTTTCTTCCCCAGGGCTCACCGTCACTTTCAGGGACTATGGGTTGGATAGGTGGGAAGGCTGGGACCACAACTGCCAGTGGGAGACTATGTTTTCTACCACCTAAAGCAGAGAGTGTCCCTTGCAGGGCCTTGGGAGGTGGGGGCTGGATTACAGGGTAGAGAGACCTGCGGTGTAAAGTCTGGCTAGACAGATAGAAATATTAGAATATTGGCCTCTTCATTTGGGCAATATTGTCCTAAGTAAGAGGTCAAAGATAAGATGTGGCTTAAAACCTAAATTCCATTTAATAATATTTATTTGTCTCCATTACATGCCAGTCACTATGCCGAGAACTGGGGAAAGAACTAAGACATAGTCTTGTCCTCAAAGTGGTCAGTCCAGTAGAACAGATAAGACAATGGAATAAGCTACTTCATTGCCAAGGGACATTGGCCACAGGGGTAAGCAGGGGTGCTGTTGTAGGAACACAAGTGAGGGGTACCATATTAGCTTCCAGTAGCTGCTGTAACAAATTACCACAAACTTGTAGCTTAAAACAACAGAAATGTATTCTCTCATGGTCCTGGAGGCCAGAAGTCTGAAATCAAGGTGTCAGTGGGGCTGCACTCCCTCTGAAACTCCAGGAGAGAATTTGTTGCCTGCCTCTTCCAGCTCCTGGTGGCTGTCGGCATTCCTTGGCTTGAGGCTGCGTCGTTCTGATCTTTGAAACTCCCTCTTGTTTTCACATCACCTTTTCTTCTGTGTCTCCCTCTGTGATGGGTACTGGTGATGGCTTTTAAGGCCCATCCAGAAAATTCAGGATAAGCTTTTCCTCTCAAGATCCTTAACTTAAGCATATCTTTTGGGACATAAGGTAAGATTGTCATATAAGGTAATATTCAGGGGTTCTGGGATTAGGAAGTGAATATATATTTGGGGGACCATTTTTCAGCCTACCAAGACCCCTAATCCAGCCTGAGACAGGAACAAGAAAGGGTTCCTAGAGGAGTTAAGAACCACTGATCCTAGGCCTGTTTGCCTTTAGAGCCATTCCCTGCCCTTCCCCTATCCTGCTCTGTGTCTCGGGGTGGGGGTGGGGGGGGGCAACCCCTGTGTTCTGTGGTTTCCACGCTCCTGTGTCAGCTGGCTTCCATCTGAATCTTACCAAGGAAGAGTCCTTTATAGGAGATGTTGAGGGAGGAGGCTGGGAGGGAGATGCCAGGGTCTTTGTTCTTTTTCCTTCTTCTTTGCCTAACACCCTCTCTGGTAGGGGCTGTGTCTCCTTGATGGTTACATCTCCTGCCAGACAGGTCCTTGGGCTCTGGTAACATCACTTGCTCTCATTATGCCTCCAGCCTTGGGATGGGAACATCTTCCTACTGTTGCTTATCTACAGGATAGCTCATCATCCTCTGTTGGGCTCTCATCTCCTCTATCACCTGCATAACCAATTCCCCTGCATTAAATTCCCTCTGTAGGAAATACTTAAAGTGTTTTTTATTTTCCTAGGAGGACCCTGGCCGACGCCAAGTCCAAGCTGAGATTTGAAGGACGAATAGTCTTGGAGAGGGTGGAGGAGGACTATTGGGCCAAGAGTACAATGCCAAGCCAGACAGATAGACCCTGCCTCATTGGAACCCTCAGTCGATTGGAAAAGACAGACACTGATCAACTCACGACACAAATAAATATGTGATTACAAACAATGGTCAGTGTCTGAAGGGGAAGTAGGACAGCTTTGGAAAATTACAATGATAGGACATCCAATCCAAGGTGGAGGGTCATTAGGGCTCCCTAAGGAGTGATGTTTGAACTGAGAGCTGAGTTAGGAGGTAGCCCAGCTGAGGCATTCCAGAGAGAGGGTGAGGCCTATGCAGAATTCCTCATGCAGGCAGGAGCTCTCAGGGGTGTGAAAGAAAGTTAATGTGACTTGAACACCACAGCCCGAGTAAAGACCTTCACCAGGAGGGGCACAGAGGATGTGCAGAAGGCCGATCATGCAGGGTCTTGTGGGGTTTGGGTTTGGGAAAAGGAGTCAAGTGGTATTGTTTCCTTGAAGCAAAAGGGAATATAGTCTGAGCTGGCAGCTCCCTAAGCAAGGCCTTAGCTGGGCCACAGGAGATCAAGGACAGATGCCACCTCCCTCCCAACCCTGCTGTGAGGTTTGAGCAACCAGTTTTCTTCTCAAGAAATGAGGCAGCAGAAATGGGTGTGAGGCCACATGAGAGAACCTCAGGATCCAGACACCAGGAAGAGGTTTCTAGGAGTTTCTGGTCACAGGGCGGCCTGCCAGCCCCCAAAGAAGCCCTTGAACTCAATGATGGGTAGCCAGAGTCAAGGACAGAGAAGATTCGGGCTGTGGCTGGAAAGGGGTTCTAAGATAGCTTAGCAGTTGTGTGCCGGTGAGGGGTCCAGGGCTGGCGGCATCAGAATCCTGGCATGTTTGCTCAAAACATAGGTGCTCCAGCCCCACTTCTGGAGATTCAGATTCAATATTTCTGTGCAAGGGCCTGGAATCTGTATTCTTCAAAGCCCGCTGGAGATTTTTATGGACAGCCAGATGTAGCAACCAGTGCTCACAGCTTGATCCTTCGATGGACGCCTGCCCCCGGTCTTATTTGTGGTGTAAGAATTGCTTCCTCCACACTACAGCCCTCTCTCTGGTCTTGCTCACTTCTGGGCTGGTTGTAAATCCCTGGTTCAGAAATGCTGGTTTTATGCTATGATTCTTTCTGGGGTGGCTGTTCCAGTGCCCATTGTTTGAGTTGTTATTGTTGCTCTGGTGGTGGTAAAGAAAGCTTCTTATAAGAAAAACTTTGATGGGGGGTGGGGAGCAGTGTGGATCTCAGCATCTTACAAACTCCCTTCTGGAGCCTTTGTAACACATGTTGTGTCTTCTGAAACTTCCGAAGCGCCATATGCCACCTGGCTAGGATGAGAACAGCTTAAGAGGAAGGACAGGCTTCTCTCACTCACCAATACCAGACAGACAGACAGTCTCTCCACTATAGGAAGTATAGTTGCTTAGTCCCCACCTTATCTAAAGCCATCATCCTTTGCTTCCTACTTTAGAGAATCTAGGGAGAAATTGGGCTAGAAAACAGCAGTAGGGACCACTCTACAAATGTAGAAAGACATCAATATTGGCATCTAGGGGCACTCCCTGCCTTCCGGCCTCCTTTGCTCACCTTCTTAGAAGCCAAGGAAGTCCCCACTTGTAAGTGGTCTGGGAAGGATGGGGGGGTAGGAAAATAAAGATAATGGGGGGGAGGGGTTGGGGAGATGCCAACACGCTTTTATAACTCAAAATAGTGACTCTGGGTCCCTGGGTTCTGATGCTAGCTGTTTTGGCGTCCTGCAGTCATTTGTTTTGTTCATGTGTAAAATGGGGTGGTTGACCTGTGTAACCTCTAAGCTCTTCAAAAAAAAAGGCGTTTGTGCTCCTTGGCCTTGACCATTCCCACAGGAGAATGAAAATCAATTATATAGGATGCTGGAGCTTCTGAAGGACACCACGTGGCTGTGAGTGGAAACACCCTTGGCTGTAGAGGAGGGTTTTTTGCTGAGGAAGCTGACTACCTCCAATGAAGGCCTCTGAGAAGAGATTTTGGGAGCACCCATGGAATAAAGGTTGGTACTGACTCTCTGGGCTCGAGACTGGTGCTCTGTGGCTGAGTCAGCTGGGGGTCAAAGATGCCAACATTAGACCAGCTTTGAAAGAGGACAAGATGGTGCTGCCTGGCAACGCCCATGTCATTTCTGCCTGTGGCTTGAACATGCTCTCTATGCAGCTGAGAAAATCACAGAAGGAATTTCATGAACTCACAGACCTTTCATTATTCCAGAAACTAGGGAGAGGATGGATCAGTATTAAGACTGGGGTAAGCATTGCATACCTCTTCCTGGTCCCTTTAAGACCGCAATCTGTCTTCCTGAGCTGGGGCAGGCTGTGTTTAGTTTTGGTATTGACACCAGGCAGTTCTGATTCACAGCAGTAACCTTCTTGTTTCCATTTCATTAATTTTCATTAAGGCTTAAATAGCCATGCATGTGGCCTGGATTTGGGGAATTAGGGTGGATCTCAACAATTAAAAGTCCTTTAGGTCTTGCAGGTTATCTCTGAGTAGAGAAAGACCAGAGAGAAAAACTCTCCCCCCCCCACCTCTTTTACTGCTGTGTTAGTTGAAGTGATTTCAGTGGGACAAATTGAATATGGGAATGATTTGCATTTTATTGCCCAGGTCTGCTCATTGGGTCAGAAGATGTCATAAAGCAGAAGCCCACAGTTGCTGACAACCTCAGAGACAGCAGGCTGCTTCACAAAGAAAGTGGACTGGCTGTTCTCATTCTTTAGAACGCGGCGGTATAATAAGCCACATGCGTTTCCAGCCGAACTGCTCTGGCTCTGAGAGTCAGGTTTTGTGTTTTTCCAAGACCCAGGGAAGCAAATAAGCCTGAGCAGAAGTTGGGGAGGTGGTCTGAATTTAAGAAAGCAAGAAACCTGAGGTCTAGAAAAGATTAGACTTGGATGGCAACCTAGTAAGAATTTTCTCTAAAACGTGGGTAGAAATCTAATCTATGTGTTGGTGCTGTTGGACTTGTAAAAAGTTTATAGCTGTAGGTTCTTGTTGTCTGAGGCAAGGATTAGACCCTCCTGCTGGGAGAGGCAGGTAACACGAATGGGCGAAGTGGGTCAGGTGGCCCATAGGGAGCCTTTGTGTGAATTAGGAAAAGGGGCCCCTTCCTCCCTGTGGAGGCCAACTGGGCTGCCTTTGATTTCAGCCTTTCTGGGCCCCCTCAGCAGGCACAACCTATCCAACTAAATGCCTATCTGAAAGGGGCACCCTGCTCAGCTCAAGACAACATTTATCATGCCTGGGTGTGGACCCCACTTGCTAACAGCTTCTGATTTGTTTTTAAAAACTGGAAATTTAATTTTTTTGTGTGAAATATCCTGATTTTAAAATGGAAGCCACATCTTCAACTTTTTGTTCCCCCTAAATAGTGTTGGAGTGAACCACCCAGGCGTGTGTGAGGGGTGGATTGGGCTGCAAGTTTTCAGACCCTGGGAGGGTAGCGTAAAGGCGTTACTAATACTCCACCCCTACTCTGACACACACACACACAATTGAAACAAGAGTTCAGGCTCCTGGGATTCTTTTCTTTGATTCTTACACCCAAATGAGCACACTTTTGGGAAAGAACAAATGCCAAGCCATGAGCGTCTTCAGACTGGTAAGGAGGAGAGTGCTCTCCAACAGAAGAGGGTAAAAACCCAAGGAAGTGAGATGCAGGGCCCTTAAGAGAGGGCCTTCATCAAGTGAGGTGAGCGCGGTTAACCAGGAGGGACATTCTGCTCCAGGTGGTGGTCTTCTCTAGCCCATGATGAGCTTTGCCTCTTTAATTGCCAAGCTGACTAGAAGAATTCCACGTCTCCCCCTGGGGCATTAAAAATTGGGAAGGCAAAGGAGGAATTCATTGAGGGTGGCTGGCACGTCAGCTCCCTGGGGGGCCGAGCTCTGAGCAATGCCTTGTGCCTCCCAGAGGCCCGTGACTCCGGCCCTGACAGTGTTTGGTCTTCCCTGCTGAGCCCAGGTTGAGTGCATAGAGATGGCTAATTAAACTCTGAACTGACAAACACTCTGGAGAGACCCTTCTTTGAAGAGCAGGAGATCACAGGGACAATTTCCTGTTTGCCAGTTTGCAACCCCGGGTCTCATCGGTTTGGGAATGTGTTAAGTTTAACTAAGGCATGTTGATGGCATTCAGTACCATTCCCCTTCTGCTGAAAGTTCTAATCCCGGATTGGTGGTGATCTCTTTTCTTCCCCCATTTCATTTTCAGGTGTGTGTGCTTTGGAGGGGGAGGGGTATGTTAGATCAGTCAAGCTTTAAGGGCGTAGTTAACCCAGAGAGTCTTTTGGTATGACTGTTCTATTAAAGGAAGAAAAGTATGTCCTTCTGCCCATAGATGTATATTCACGCATGTATCCAGATTTCCATATGCATTTGATAGGTAGATGCAAATACACACAATATATATGGAAGTAGAGTCAACAATGTGGTTAGTTTGGTTTGGGGCCTTTGTGTGTCCTATTCCCCTTCTGGGGTGATCAGTTGGTTCCCAAATGGTACTGAAGGACAGTGCTTCTCACAAGCAACCAAGGGGACCAAATCTTTCTTTCGGGTAGGATGTGTTGCATATGGTGGGCATCCAGCAAAGATCAGTTTATCTGATTTCTGTGATTGCTTCATTTGCTTTCAAGCTGTAAGAAAAATAGATACGTTCAAATTGTGGATTTGCCCTGTATCGAACTGCTGGGATCACATTTATCAATGACTGTGGGAATGGTGCTGTGGAGGCAGGGAGGGAGCAGGGATGAGCTTAGCCAAAAGGATATGAAGTTGCACACCATTGCTGATGAAGGTACCAGTCAAAGGCAAAAGACAAACAGCAGGTCTTGCAGAAAAGAAGTATTAGCATCACCTCTTGACCTGTCATTCTCACACTGTTTTCCATGGTCGCTAGGATACTCTGAACTGGTTAAATGGCAAATGGTGGCGACTCTTCATTGTTTGTTCCTCGTGCAGACATTGCTCCCATTTTGCCACATGATTTTATACGCACACACACAGGGCTTTGTGGTGGCGGAGGCAGGATACAGAGTCAGTAGACAAACATCCAGCCTCGAGGAGTTTCCAGTGTGGTGGGGGAGGCTTGTGGATTTTTAAAATAAGCTGGCTCATTATCTTTTGGAAATAGGTGAGACATACAATATTTAAAAAAAATTACCCCAGCATTATCTTAACTCGATCTTTGGCCAAGAATTCAAACTGGAAGCTCTGTAGGTTAAAAAAAAGAAAAAAATTCAGAGCATAAAATATGAGCCCTTTATCTTCAGTGTCTGTGAGCTTCCTTGTGGACTATAAAGGGAAAATACGAAAAAGCTAGGAAAGATTGAGGGTTTAAAACTAACTACAGAAAGCAGTGGTTTGTCTGGCATGGTTTTCCACTCATGGACCAGTTTGCTGCATTGGCCGTGGGCTGTGAAGTTCTAGCTAAGAACAGTTACTGTGTTACTTTGTACAAATCCTATGCCTCTCTGAGCTCTGTCTTCATCATCTGCCAAATGTGTTTAATAATAAGGACCTCACAGAGTTATGTTAAAGGAGAAAATGAATATATGTTACCTTGTACAGTACTCACTGAGTGTTATGATATGTGGGGATCTGGAGTCTGACTGACCTGAGTTCAAATGCTGGCTCTGCAGCTATCCAGCTATGTGGCCTTAGGCAAATCATTTAGCCCCTCTGAGCTTCCGTTTTCTCAACTGAAAACCTGGGCTGCCTTCTCAGTGTTGTTGTGAGGAGTGAGACGGTGCAGGTAAGAGAGCAAAGTGCAGGGTCTGGCCAAGAATGAATGTTTAATAAATTTGGGGTGGTCTTAGCTGCTTTGAATGTAATTCATTCTACCAGCCTCCTACTACCCCCAGTGCTGCCCACTACTTGTGCCTCCCACTACCTATCTGCTGAGCGGGATGTACGCTGTTCAGTGGAGGAGCTTCTAGGGGCTTCTGGGCTTCTTCCCCAAGCAGGCCTCCAGTTCTGCATCCTGCTCTCCTTGGGACCCTGGTGGAGGAAGGTTCTGAAGCCTCCAGTTCTCCACAGCATGCCATAAAAACCCCAGGAGAGAGCCCGTTAGCACCTGCACACTTGGGGACCCGTGTCAGCAGGATGGCCGGGAGCTTCCTGCTGAAACCCGAGGGCAAGGCGGGTTCACTGAGGCCCTTCATTAAGATGAGTTATGAGCCCGCGGGTCTCTCTGGCTCAATTTGGCCCAGGCTGAGAGGCTGAGGCCCAGCCGGCCCCCTGCCTGCACGGCATGAAACCCTCTTCCTCTGCTCCCCTCCCTGGCCGCTTCCCACCCCTCCGCGTACCCCCTACCCTCCTTTAATGAAAGAGAAAGGCATCGACCCCTCCAGGGGGTCCTCAGAGCAAGAGGTAGAGATCAACCTAAGGAACTGTTTTCTTGTCACTGGCAGGCACCTGGCTGACCAGGCCTGGCCCAGGCCCTTTGTGACATGTGCAGAGCACCCCCCATCCTCCCCCTCCTGCCACAGGCCATTTACAAGTCCACACAGCCAGGAGGGAGCGGGGCCATGGGGGCCTCAGAGCTAGCTGTGCATTCATTCCCATCCTAAGCCACAGGTCAGAGGTTATCCTGTCAGCTCCTCCAGGGTGCCTGGCTTTTTATGTTTTTGTTTTTTTTCTTTAAAACCATGCAATATGATAAATGGCTGTTCAGAGAAGCCAAGCTCAAATGCTGTCTAGAGCAGCAGTTCTTAAATGTTAATGTGCTTGCGAATCACCCGGGAATCTGGGCAGAGCGGGGAATGCCTACAGTGCAAAAGCGACATTCGGGGGCGCCAGCTGAGGCCTCCGAGGGCTCCGTTTGCGGCACGAGGGATGGATGTTAGACACTGACAAGGTCTCCCCGCCCCACCACAGAGCTGGCTGTGCGCTAGAAGGGAGAGTGGCTGATGGTCAGCAAGGGCAGAGGTTTGCGAAAAACAAATTCCCCAGAGGTGTTTTAAAAAGAGAAGAGGAAACTACTATTTACCGAGCGCCTGCCACATGTTTGACAGCTTTCCCCAGGGAGGCAGCGTAACCTGGCAGTGCGTGCGCGTGTTCTGGAGCCCGACTGCCTGGGATCCATCCTGGCGCCATCGCCGACTGACGGGGTCTTGGGCAAATTATGTCCTGTCTCCCACCCTCAGACGCCTTCCCTTTGTAATGAGCATGGTGGTGGTACCTGCCTCATGGACTTATTTAATTGTGGGTTAAATGAGATACTAGACATAAAAGCACTTAGCATGGTACTTGGTATATAACCGTTCAATAAATGGGAATGTTATCATCATCAGCATCATCATCATCTTCTTGTGCAGCCTCATAGCTTGGGATCCTGTCTCTGACTTTCCTCTCTCGGCCTGGTCAGTGGGAGTCTTCCTTTCAGCGGAGAGAATTGAAGTTCTCTCTGCTGAGAGACCAAGGATGCGACGTAAACCTTCTTTGTTTAGCGAGAGGCTGTGAAATCTGAAAACAAAAAAGCTGAAAGGAGGCAGGTGTGTAACGACACGCCTCACTCTCTAATTCTCTGGTTTACACGCCACCTGGGCAAACCCCGGCCTGAAAGCCTGGGCCCCTTCAAGCAGGTTTGCTCCCAGATGGAAGCGGAAGGAATTCATCAGTGAGTCACTGCCTTGTGATACAGCGGGATGCCGGCCAAGGAGCTGCTTTTCTCTCTCTCTCCCCATCCTTCTCTCTCTCTGCCCCCCTCGCTCCTTCTGTCTTTTCTTTCCTGTTCAGAGAGAGCTAAAGGTGAAGCCTGATTCTGGGAAGCTACATTTTTTCTGATATCCCCCCAAATTCTGTGCCATTAGAAAGTTTGAAATCTGAAGTCAAAAAGGAGGATTCTGGGTTTGAGCTGTCCCATTGAGGAGGCTAACTCACTCTTCCAAGCCTCAGCTTCTTTATCCTTTGAAAACAAATGATAATGGGAGTTTCCGCTACACTGGAAGCCACTCGAGGGCAGGAATTGGATCTTTTTTAACTTATCTCACCAGGAGCGCCTAGTATGACATCTGCCACCTGTTAGTGTTCAATACCTATTTGCGTGCATGCATACCGCTTAGCTGTTGGAATTATTTATGGAGATGCTGTGTTCGAAAGCCCTTAGCCCAGTTATTTTCATTGTATGTTCATTTTTCCTTTTCTCAGCTTAGACCTGCTCCTTAGAAGGAGGAAGATGAGGGATAAAGGAATGAAAGTGATGGGGAGGGGAAGCTGGAGAACAAGTGAAGAAGGAAAGGGCCCAGGTGGTATGGTAGGAAGGGCTCCAGGTCTGGGGGAGGCCGCCCTCTCATCACACACTAGGCCTGAGATTTCCGCTGGCCCATTTGACCTGGTCTCAGACTCCTCATCTGCAGGATGGGAGTGAAAACATTCATTTTACTGATGGTGTGTATCCAGGGGGAAATATATCTGTGACGGCAGCCCCGAGAGCTCCTGGTCTGCATTAGGTACACAGTGGTATGCGGTCTGAAGGTGGAGAGGAAAAGAGAGGGAAAAAAAAAAAAAAAAGCCTAGAAAGAAGGAGAAAATGAAGCAGGGGAGGCAAAAGGAGAGAAGAGAAGAGTTTGGATCCTTTTCTTCAAAATACGGCCAGTTCCTGCTGCTTCTGGCCAGTTTGGGTTGGAGTTAAGCCTGAGAAGTCATTGTACTTGGCCACCACCTTCTTGCTGAACCCTGTAGTTTGTAACCTCATGTGATTCAATGGAAGCAGTGGATGGTTGAGGTCAGGAGTGGGTAATGTATGCACAGGATACATCCCTATGGGGGAAGCAAAATAAATATATGGCCCCAGACCATGCTCCTAGAAAGTAAAATGAGGTTTCCTAGGATTCTGCAGTTTTCAGACAGCTGTCTGGATCCTGTGTGGGTTGGAGGCTGGAATTGTCAATTGGCCCAATATTCAGGCAACAAACTGGCTGTGTGGACAAAGACATGGCCTGCGCAAGTGCCCCTGGGAAGTATTCTTATGGTTTAAAATAACATTTAATATTTTTATAATGACATTTTCATTTTTAATAATTAAGGGAGTTGTGGGCATTCGTTCTGGAAATTTTGGAAAAAGTAGGAAAGAACACTTATAAACCCATCAAGAGATAATCCACCATTGACTTTTTGATATATACGCCTTCATCTGTGAGTGTGTGTATGTGTGCCTTTCATTTTGGCGAGGATGGTATAAAATTGGGGTATATTTTTATTATTTTCTAAGTGCTTGGATAGTTTTCTCAAGACCCGTCAGTTCAATGATATTTCGTTGACTATGTGTCAAGTCCTGTACTCGGTGAAGTGAACTGAAGTCTGTTTCTGATTAGCTTTTCTCAAGTCCTTGAAGTTGAAAAGAATATTCTTGAGAAAAGTTGGTAGTAGCAATATTCTCCAACTTAATCTAGTATCTCCCAAGACTAGAATTTCCAAAGATTGGGTTATAATATATTCCCTGTTTCTCTTGGGCTCTCAAGACAGATTTCTTCTGCCCTCTCTCTCCTCTTAGAGTAAGTATGTGAGCAGGAAAAACCAGAGTTTGACTTTTTCTTTCCTGGATGTGTTCTATAAAAAGAGGTTTTAGTGAGCTGGGGAGAGAGGTAGGGAGAAAGGGAAAGTAGAGAAGGAAAGGGAGGGAGAGATAGAGAGGCAAAAACTGTGGAAGAAGGAAGGCAGAGAAATGAGAGGGAATCCGGGGTGGTGTTTCTTAGTGTGGAACCTGCATTAGTCATCCATCTGGCTAGTATTTATGGAATGCCCATCATATGCTAGCCCTGGGTAGCAATCACAGCCTCCTGAACAAACCCTGGCCCTAACATCCAGTATCTTTGATCTGTCTCAAGTCTGAGAAGGACACCCAATTCCCTTGGCCTTTGAATAGCACTCTTCATAAACTACTGGGAAACTCAATTTGTCTTCTTTCCTGTAATCCCCTAGCAAGTCCCTAAGGCCAGGGTCAAACCAACCCAGTGGCAAGGCTAGCACCAGGCCTATCCTCCCCTGAATGCAGCCTCCCCTGAGGGTCCTGCCCTGGTTGGTGGGCTTTCTACAGGGAACTCTCCCCAGAGCACCAGGGGGCTCAGCTTTGTTGAGGAACCTGCTTGTGACACCTTTCACCACACTGTGGATTCTCAAAGAACCAGGGTGTAGCTCATTGCCCCACCTCCAGAAGGAGATACCTTTCCTCCCCCTCTGGTGGGGATTTGTTGTCTTACAGCCCACAGAGAGGACAGATCAACTGATCTATCAATAGAGAGGGAGGGAGGGAAGGTTGCACCTTGTAGTGACAGATTAGTTAATTCCTTCATTCAAGAAATGTTTACTGAAAAAAAGATAGTAAGGTGATGGGTGTGTTAATTAACTAGATGTCAAGAATCCTTTCACAAGGTATGAGTACATCAAACCACCACAATGTATATCTTAGATATCTGATAATTTTATTTGTCAATTTTACCTCAATAAAGCTGCAAAAATAAATAAAAATAATTTGAACCAAAAAAAGGAAATATTTATTGAGTGCCTACTCCAATTTTGCATCAGGCATTGGTCCAGGCCCCGAGAATGCTCAGATAAACCAAACAGACAAGTTCCGTGGTCCCACTGAGTCTTCAGAGACCACAGACACACAGACACACCGAGGGTGAAATGGAAATGTCAAGTTCTCGTAAGTACTATGCAGAGAACGAACTAGTAGGGGGAGCTAGTGGTGGTCAGGAGCGGGGAGAACCCGGCTTGGGAGGTATGATAGTCAGGGAAGGTGCCCAAGGTGACAGGGAGGTGGTGACATTCAAGCTGAGTTCTAACTCAGTGCTTCTCACACTTCACATGGATAGAATCCCCTGGGGGCCTTTTTAAAAATGCAGATTCTGACTCAGAAGACCTGGGTGGGGCCTTAGACTGCATTTCTGAAGACCTCCCAAGTGAGGCTGATGCAGCTGGTCCATGGACCACACTTTGAGCAGCAAGGTTCTAAATGCCAATGAGGCCTCACCTAGGGGGTTGCTTTAGACCTTCTTGCAGAGAATGCTCCAGGCAGGGAAATAGCCAATGGAAATGCAGATGAGGACCAGCTCAGCTTGTTAGAAGCACCGAAGGCAGACTAGCATGGCTCAAGAAAGGACTAGAAGCAATCAGAGAGAGGCGGGGAAGAACCAGATCATGGAGGGCTCTGCATGAAAGGCAATGGGAACTCTGAAGTGAGTGCTGTCATTAATAGTTTTCCCTCGATTGTTCTGTCTGTATGTTAGACACTGAGTCCCTCCTGTGCTTCTGCCTAGAATGTTCCTGGGCCTGAACCAAGCTCAGTCAACCCATCACAGATTTGGGGGACCTTGCAAGGAAAACTTTCATATAGTCCACTCTGGCATAGCTAAAATTTAGGCAAATACTTTCCTCACTCTGGAGTTTCAGAAAGGGAGAATTTCTTGACAAGATACCTTCAAACTCACAAAATTTTAGGACACAGCTTTTATCATTTCCCAGGATTTAGGGACACATACACCAGCAGCACCAAAAACACACCTAAAGAGAAAGCTCTGGGTCCACCGCATCCCCCATGCAAAGACACTTTATTCCCCAAGTCTGCACTTATTGGCTCAAAACAAATAAATGTAAAAATCCTGGCCTCAACAAATCCCCTCCTTCCTCCATCTCCTACCAGAGTCACAGTTGCTTTAGACTTCCTTGTGGAAGGAGAAGAGACGACTAAAATTCAAACCCTACCATCATCCCAGAGTGTCTGGTCCAAAATTAGAACAAAGAGAAGACAGTCACCCCCAGGTGACAAATCATGAGCTGGCCCTAAGCAGGGCCTCTAGGTGATGAATTATGTTTATATCCGCCTCTCCTTCTCTGCAGTTGGCCTTCTACAATGACTTTCCTGCATTATAAAGCTACTGTGTGTGCAAACAGCCCAGTCTGCACAGCTCTCAGCCTAATTAATCCAATCACGGGATGGTGATTAAGAGGTCAACAGTGACATTTCCAGAGAGCACCCTCTGTCTTCCCAGCAGCTAGCTTGTCCCAGGGCCCCAAACTCCTCGGGTGGCTCTGGACCCAAGGAGCTACAGGGGCCTGCTCCACTTTGGGCCCTCCCTCCTGTCATTTATAGCAGGGCTGACCAAAGGAGAAGGCCACAATTCAGTCTTTCTGGGAGAAGTTTCAGCCTCCCCACAGAGGATACTTGATGGTGTAAGATTCCCCCTTAAAGAAAGCTCGCCCCAGGTCCAGACACGAAGGAGCCAGAGTTGGGAGCCCAAGCACCATGACTTTAATTCCGAATTCAATACATAAGCCTGCTCCTTAGGAAAGGGTGACACCCGGAGACCGTCTCAGAGTCACTTACCTCTCCGACCTTCTGCTTCCTCAACTGTGAAACTGGGTTACTGATAGTGCTTATTTCATAGGATATGCTTCAGAAGTAGATGAGTTATTATATGAAAAACTTTGGGACAATGCCTGGAATGTGGAAATACTCAATAAATACTAGTTGTTATTACTATTAGGAGTAGTGGTACCAGTTGGTGTATCACTGAAGATTCCTAGTTTCAAGCCACATAATCAGACTTAGTTGATTTAGGCAGAAAAGGAATGTATTACAAATGATACTGAGTGGCCTACAGAATTGCTCCGAGAGATGGAAAATGAGACCTGGAGACCACCCAGCCTGGAGCAACATCCAAAACCATCCTGGAGACTTGCCCTTGAGGGCAGCACTGCCACCCCTACCCAGCTCCGGAGATTGTATGGTGCACAACACTGCCCTGTACTCCATCTTGCTGAACCTCTGAAAAGGATTCTTCCAAATCCCCGATTCTTCGAGAACCCCACCCCTCATTCTATGGATCTGCTCTGTCTGACTGGTGGAGCCTTGATGGTCTACCTAATGATAGTCTCCCCATCATTACTGCAAGGGAGTCTAGGAAGCAAATATCTGGTATTGTCTGGTTCTACTGTAGAAGAGGGCTTTGTCTCCCACCAAGACTCAAAAAGCGGAGAATTCCCCAAATGTTGGAAGAAGGATGGGGGAATGTGCAGGATTGGCCTTGTGCATGGTGGTGACAGTCAGGTAGACAAGCCCTGCCCCCCTTTCCATGTGCTGCTGCTCCTGGAAGTACAGGAGAATTAGGAGACTGAGTTCCTCGACCTCCAAGAAGAAATGAAGTAACATGAAGGCATGGGGGAGGGGAGGTAGTAGTGTGAGAAAAGGAGTGTTAAAATAAGCCTGACAGTGGGACGTGAAGGATCGGGCCTGAAGGATAAAGTTCCAGTGCTTTTCATGCTCCCTGCACTGGGTGAGCATTTACCAGTAAATATTAAATGAGTGTGCTGTAATTACTGGATGAGCCCCTGGCCACCTGAAGCCACCCGCGAGTTGGAGGGGGCTAGGGTCTGCTGTGGAGGCTGGCAATGTTTCAGCGAGTGGCACGCACCCTTTACTGGACAGTTCAGGCTGCAGTGGACTGCACCCTTGCAGTGCTGCCAAGCAAGAGCGAGGGTGTCAGGGGCTGAGAATGGCCAGAGGCGGTAGGAAGAGCCTTCAGCTACTCAGACAGGTGTGGTCATAAGGATGCCTGAGGGATTACTGTGGCCAGTGACCCAGCCTCGTAGAAGAATTGGTGTGAGTGTTATCTTCCCTGGCTAGGGCTCCACTGCTCTGTGCTGACTCCTGCCCAGGGGGAGTCTAGAAACATCCCTAACCCTCTCTCTGGGTGGCTATGTCAGGATGATAAAACCTCTCTAGACAGGCGAGACTCAGCACGGTGGCTCCGTTTGATCAATCTGAAACTCTTTAGGCTTGAATAATAAGTCACATCTTCGTTTGTACTCACCTTTCATCACAGTCCCTTTGGAGCTGGAGAGACCTGATGTGAATAATGAAAGAGTTGATTTTATACAGAGACATACATGCTGTAAGTCATTTCTCCTCTCAACCCCTTGCGGAAGGGCCAACAGATATTTACAGACCTCATTTGATAGACGAGGGAGGCGTCTGGGGTTCAGGAAGTTTATGTGACTTCTCCAAGGTCACACAGAGTAAGTACAGGACTAATCTCAGGTCTCCTGGCTCCCAGTGCAGTTCCAGTGCCATCATCACTGTCCTCGTCTGAAGATGCATCCATGTAGCATGTAGGAGAGCACAGTGCTTGACGGCCTTGGGACTGGCCTTGGACTGCCCAGGTTGCTGTAAGGATTAAGGAGATAATGCATGTAAAACACTTAGCACAGGGCCAGTCAATGACGGCAGTCAATAATGTTCTCACATTTCATGTTTATCATTATTCGCTGCTATTCTCTGGCACACACCCAAATGTCTGGACCCCACCACCAGCACACCTCCATCACTGCAGAAAGTCCCCTCTCTTGATACAATACTTTCAAATGGGGGCCTTCATCCTCTTCCTAGTTTCTGGAATATGGGGGTAGTAATTCTCATACCTGTTAATAAAGGACCCTGGCTCTTTGGGGATCAAAACTGAGCTATTGTTCTAGTCTCAACTCAAGCCAACTGAGGTCTAAGAGACATCAAAAGGAGCTTTCGTTACCCTCTAGTGTTTCCCTGTGACTTTCCACGAGCCCTGCACCTGTCATTTCCCCGCTTCCTCCTCTAACTGTAAAGACCCAATACCTCTCCTCTGCCCACCCTGTCCCACCCTCCCAGCCACTCACACAAAGAATTGAGAAGCCAAGAGTGGCTGTTTCCTGAGCAAGAGGCCAAGTCAGTCGTGGTGGTAACTCAAGAACACAAGGCCTGTGTGGTGGAAAGAGACAGGGCAGGCAGTTTCCCTTCCAATCGAGATCCTGGATTCTAGGCTCACCCCCCAGGATTTGATTCCCTGTGAAAGGGCTGCCACAGAAACTCCCCTCCCATGGACCCTGCTGTTAGGGGGCAATGGGAAGCAAACTAAAGGGATGCAGCTTCATTAGAGGGGCTGCGACCTGGAGGAAACTTCTAGAGGGAGGAAAAGCCTCTTCTAATGTTCTTTTCTACTATAGTCGTTTGTCACACTGTGGGCCCTCCACCACAGTAATGAGGGTTTTGTGAACTGCCTTTCCCCCGAAGGCTCTTTCTCCTCCCTTATTTTACCAAATTGAGAGTTTACTTAAACTCTGGATTTCTCCTGCTGCTACTTCTTAGAGCAGTGAAATAGAGTTGAAGGTACTGGATTGCACAGAAGTTATTTTATCTGTGGCTTCTGCTTATAGAGAAGAAAAACAACCACAGTCCCTGGTTTTGTGTCAGCTACATGGGCCTCCATCAAGGACTGAAACTAACACGCTTCCGTATGACCAAGCTTAATAAGGCTTTCTGATCACGATGGCCATACGTATCAAGGACCAGCCAGTGCCATCACTGGTGGTAAGCACAGTCTAAAGACGCGTCTCCTATTGCGTCATAATTACCTTACCCGTCAGGTAGGTTCTCTTACGGGTTGCATTTTACATTTGGGGAAACTGAGGCTTAAGGAAGTTAAGTAACTTGCCCAAGGACACACAGCTAGGAAGTGGGGAAGCCAGGATTGAAACCCAGCGTTCTGGTTCCCAAGCCTTAAGTGCCTACCTGTTTCACCTGCTTCCTTTTAAGGAAGAGTGTTGATGAGGATTCAAGTGGCTCAGCAGCATGGGATTCTAAAAAGTTTGTAAGGTTTTGAAAGTTTGAAAGTTAGGGTGTCAGGCGCTTTTTGGAGGGAAAAGAGTGCGGGCGCATGTTGGTAGAAGTAGCACAATGGCATTCAGGCGATGGGTTTGGGAACTCAAGTGATGAATCTGGCCTTTGCATCTTTAAATACCTTGGAAGGTCAGATTAGCACAGAAACCCTGAAGCCGAACCGAACACTCGGTCCTCCCAGTTGGCAAACATTAGCTGGTTGAAATCCTTCCTGATGGAAATACCGATAACATGCCGACAAAAGTTCAGACTTGTTTCTAAAGGTCATCTCAACCAGCAGAGCAATTAGTTCAAGTTTGCCTTTTGCTTTTCCCTGGTGAGAGTTTTAGCAGAAACCTCAAATTTTAGTCCTCTTTGCAACATATGGTCAGCGACAGTCGTCAGTCTGAGATTATACCCGATACAGAACGAGCAGTGATCAAGAAGTTTCTCTTCATCTGGGCAAGACGCAGAGTTAGACATTCATATGGGGACATAGCAACACGCAGCAGCCTCTCCAAGGTGGGGGAGGTCTCTTCAATCTGTTATATGGGCTACTCCCCTGGGATGCTCCCTGAACCTCAGAAACATCCAGTTACCTCCTGGACACATCAGTTGAATGTACCACCCCATTACCCTGTTGACATCCCCTAAAGCGCCCTCTCCCTTCCAGATCACCGTCACCTTCAGCCAGAACCCTAGGAATCGGCTTCAACCCTCCCTCCTACCCAGCATCTGATAGGATTGTCTGCTTCCCTACTCTCTTCTATTTTCCCTTTTCTCTTCCCACTGCCACTACCCTTGTTTACATCCTAGAACCTTTTGCCTGGTCTGTTTATGGCTACTCTATCTTCATCCCACCTTCCTGTACCTCCTCCATACACAGGTGGAGTGACCTTTCTAAAACCTCCATCTATCTGACCTTGACTCGATCCTGTTTAAAATCTTTCAGAATTCCCCACTGCTCTCAGAATAAAGCATGCAAAGTCTTCCATGGCCTGGACGGGCTCCTGCTTGCTTCTTTATCCTCGTGTGTTACACTTTCCACACTCTGTTTTCTTCATGTTCACTCTGTCTGTCTATCTGCCTCCCCACCCCCTCCCCACTCCTCC